GAGTGAAATCTGAGTCTACTATAAGTGGAGTTAAAGCAGAAACAGCTGACGGTGGCAAAGTGATGCTACCACCTTCCTATATGAGAGACTCTTGGCTCTGTGCATCCAGGGGAACTTGATGACAGCAAGCTTATCATCTTCATAAAGGTGCAAGTGGCTGTGATAGAAAAGATGAAGGTGGTCATGAAGAAGTAACATAAAGGGAAAAAACCCTGATATTAAAGGAACTCTCAGAAACATTACATGACATTGAAAGTGCAAAGAATAAAATGGTGGAGACTGATCCAAACTTGGAGGATGATGATTCACCAAGACATAAACAAGATGCTCACACCTTATAGTAAGCAGACAAGTGCTGGCTGGCTGGGTGCCTGTGCTCAGTGGTTAGAGCACCAGCCCTCTGGCAGGTTTGAATCTGGCCTGGGCCCGTTTAACAACAACAACAACAACAACAAAAAGGCAAGTGGTGTTCAAACTATTCTTGATAATTTTTAACAAAAAATACCCAATTTTAATTCTCAATGTTTCTGATCTTTTAAAAGAATGTCCTAAATAAGTACTAATTTTATGATTTTTTTCATTTATTTATCTAGTATAACCAGTAATTGGAGTGTTTTCAATGTTTTGACACATTTTTTAACAGTCATGAAAAAAAAATAATTTTTCCACATAATTATTAAGATCACTTAGCACTATTTGAGCTTGCACAAAATTGAAGGACAATTTTTATGGTCCTTCACTGCCATGCGAATGGGTGATGGCCGGTACTTATTTCACCTGACACTTCTGTGACATATGGCTTTTTTGATCACTCCCACTTTCGTGAAACACAATTCTCTCCTGCTTTTCCATGACCCCACTATTTCCAGGTTCCTATCTCCCTTTCTTCCCAGGTTTCTTCCCAGCTTCTCTTCCCTTTCCTAGTTTTGGGTATTGGTGATCCCCGCAGTCTGTCCTTGACTCTTTGCTCCTCACCCTACGTGCTCTTCTGGTTCTGGCCTTTTGTAGTAGTTGAAACTTCTCTGCCTTGGGTGGTGATAATGGTGTTAAGGTGAAGACAGTGGAGATTCCTTCCTACCTTACCAACTGGTAGAAAGGAGTTTAGGAGGGAAAAGGGCAGGCTGTGTGGTGTCCCCTTTATTTCAGAATTTGGATTTAGGACAGAGTCAGAGGAGCCAATTAACATTATTAATGTAGATAGCTATGAAAATTGCATTAATTTATTCATTCCACCAATATTTACTCACTTATACTATGTATGTGTATCAGGTAGAGTTCTAGATGCTGGAGTACTATGGACTGACACACATAGTATAAAGTACAATTAATATCTGGAGAGAGACAGGGACAATATTCACATAACTTTTTTTTTTTTTTTTGAGACAAAGTCTCCTTTTTTTTGCCCTGGCTATGTCATCATAGCTCACTGCAATCTCAAATTCATGGGTTCAAGTAATCCTCCTACCTCAGCCTCCTGGGTTGCTGGGACCACAGGTAAGTGCCACTAAGCCTGGCTTTTTTTTGGTGGAGATGAGGGTTTAGCTGCTTTACTCAGGCTGGTCTTGAACTCCTAGACTTAAGGAAGATTCCTGCTTTAGCCTCCCATAATGTTAGGATTATAGACATATGTCACTGCACCTGGCCCACATAACTGTTACTATAATATATTGTTAACATTCGTTCTACAGTTGACCCTTGAACAATATGAGGGGTGAGGGGGTCCAACACCCCATACAGTCTGAAATCCACGTGTAACTTTTGACTCTCCCACAACTACTACTAGCCTACTCCTAGTAGTAGAAGCAGCCTTACCTGTAACATAAACAGTTGATTAACATGTTTTTATATGTATTATATACTGCTTATTTTTATAATAAAGCTGGAGAAAAGAAACCATTATTAAGAAAATCATGGCTCGGCACCTATAGCTCAACTGGCTAAGGCGCCAGCCACATACACCTAAGGTGGCGGGTTCGAATCCCCAGCCCGGACTCGCCAAACAACAATGATGGCTGCAACCAAAAAA